GGCGATGTACACCCTTCCCTTAAGGGACAGTCGGATGTCATGGCGGCGCCACAGGTGTTGCAGGTTGGCGAAAGCTGCTCTAGCTTTCGCTATTCGTGATGTGATCTCATCTCCAACACCACCACCAGCTGCAATCAAGCTCCCGAGGTGCTTAAAGTTCTCAAATACTTCTAGCTGATCACTACAGGTGAGTACGGACATAGGCTCCTGCCAGTCTTGAACCAGCACTTTGCACTTGGAAGGTGCAAAGCACACACCATACCTGGATACCTCTATCGCCAAATGTGTAAGGCTTTTGGACTGCTTGTGTGTTGTCACCCAGAAAGGCGATGTCATCGGCATATTATAAGTCAAGAACTCTGTTCCCTGCGAGGAGTTCGACTCCACCGTTTACTAGAACGGACAAAGCATTCTGTAGAACATCCTCCATGACAAAGTTGAAAAGGAATGGGGATAGAGGGCGTGATAAACTAAAGAGATATTGAAAACATTTGGAGGAAAATTTCGAACATTTTTCAAATCATCAGAAAATTGTGAAATGCCAGAAGAATCGGAGATGGCACGACATAAAACCACATGGTCAGCGTATTTGAAGAGAGAATTAGTGGCGTTAACAGATAAATCTCTGATGTACGTGGAAAATAAGTATGGGGAAAGGATTGTACCTTGGAGTACCCCAGAATTGCTCACCAATGGTTTGGAATTCTTCCAACCTGGCCTGGTACATTAAGTTTTCCCGGTGGGGTAATCAACAAGCCAAGCTAATAGCTGCCTGGGACAATTGAAGGTCTCCAGCTTACACAGAAGAAAGGAACGAGGGATAGAATCAAAAGCAGATGAGTAGTTCAGAAACACACAATGAACAGATTTCGCGGAGTCATTCATGGATTTGGTAGTTATGTGCAATTGAGGAAACCGCATCTATCGTGCATCTGTTTGGTATGTAGGCAAACTGAAGAGGATCAAACAAAGTATCATGTGAGGACTGAATGAGCGTAAGGGGAACACACTCTGCTAGTTTAAGACCAAAAGTTATGGCGATGGGACGGAAGCATTTGGTTAGAACGGTTGAGGTAGAAGATTTGGGAATGGGGATAATTGTTAGCGGTTTCCAGTAGTCTGGTATGGTGCAGGATTGTAAGGAAGTGTTTAAAAATGCTACTAATATTTTACTGAAAGAATAGGCTCCATATTTTAGAAGGGAAGATGAAATACCAT